GCCCCGACACCAGTCTCAGCGAATCCTCACTCAACTCTGCATGGCAAAGGCTCAGGGGAAATGAGGTGCAGAGGGCTCGTATTGGTTTCTTGTCATCTCAAACATAGGGTTTAAAACAACACAGGAGTGTTCTCCTCCGGTGCTGGAGATGGAAGTCCCGAAGAAGCATTATGGGCCACTGCTTGACGCGTCCACAGTCTGTGTCAGAGTCCCGGCTTGAGTCCCAGCCACTCTGCTTCAGTGCAGCTCCTTGCCAATGCACACCCTGGGAAGGCAGCAGATGAGGGCCCCTGACCCCGATGTGGGAGACCCCGACGGAGCTCCAGGCTCCTGGCTTCAGCCTGGCCAGCCCTGGCTGTTGTAGCTATTTGGGAAGTGAAGCAGTAGATGAGAGATCCATTGCTCTCCCCCCATCCCCTGTCCCCTGTACTGACTTTCAAATAAATAACTGTTTTTTTTAAAAAATGGGTAGTTTTTTTAAAGATTTATTTATTTATTTGAAAGTCAGAGTTACACAGAGAGAGAAGGAGCGGCAGAGAGAGAGAGAGGTCTTCCATCCACAGGTTTACTCCCTAGATGGCCACAACAGCTGGAGCTGTGCTGATCTGAAGCCAGGAGCCAAGAGCTTCTGCATCTCCCATGTGAATGCAGGGGCCCAAGGACTTGAACCATCCTCTACTGCTTTCCCAGGCCCTAGCAGAGAGCTGGATCAGAAGTAGAGCAGCCAGGACTTGAACCAGCGCCCATATGAGATGCTGGCACTGCAGGCTGTGGCTTTACCCACTACGTCACAGTGTCAGCCCATTTGGTTTTTTTGTCTAAATGATTCTTACAGGTAACTGGTAAAGCCACTGCCCTTATGAGCACCAGTTTATGTCCCAGCTGCTCCTCTTTTTTTTTTTTTTTTTTTTAATTTGACAGATAGACAGTGAGAGAGAGAGACAGAGAGAAAGGTCTTCCTTCCATTGGTTCACCCCCCAAATGGCCGCTACGGCTGGAACTGCAGTGATCCGAAGCCAGGAGCCAGGTGCTTCCTCCTGGTCTCCCATGCAGGTGCAGGGCCCAAACACTTGGGCCATCCTCCACTGCTTTCCCGGGCCACAGCAGAGAGCTGGACTGGAAGAGGGGCAACCGGGACCAGAACCTGGCACCCATTCGGGATGTTGGCGCCGCAGGCAGAGGATTAACCAAGTGAGCCACGGCGACGGCCCCCAGCTGCTCCTCTTCCAATCCAATTCCCTGCTCATGGCCTAGGAATAGCAGCGGAAGATGGCCCAAGTGTTTGAACCCCTGCATCCATGTGGGAGACCTGGATGAAGCTCCTGGCTCCTGGTTTTTGCCTGATAAGGGCTTTTGTGGTGAAATTTCATCTCCATATGAGGAACCCAGAGACCTGACCCAGCCGTGGTGCTGGAGTCTTTGGGAGGGACCTAGAACCAGGCAAGGTTGTCAGGGTGGGGCTCCTGTAACTGAATTCGGGCAGCTTTATCGGGACACACGTGTGCCATCCCGTCCCTCGACTGGGGCTCTGCCAGTGAGAAGACCGCCACCAGCTACGGGCCCTCGAACCCCCAGAACTGTCAGCCCAACAACCCCCCCTCTTTAGAGAGTTCACCTGGCTCAGTATTTTGTGAGAGTAAAGAAAAATGGGTCGATCCCCGTAACATATTCAGGGTTCCAGGCGTACGCTGTGGACCTCTCTGGGGACCATGTCAGCCTGTGAAAGGGGTGGAGGAAGGGCCCCCGGTCAGAGCACCAGTAGTAAGAGGTAGAGCGGGCAGTCCCACCCAGGGCCCTGGGGCCCCACAGCTTGTGCTCCTGACCTCCACACTGTTGCAGTGTTGCTTCCGTTTCTCTTTAGGTTCAGGGACACTGTCACTGTCAGTCCCAACGCCGTCCCACTGCCTCCCCTGGATGTACGGACTCCTAACAATTTTGAGAGCACCCAGAGGGTCTCCAGCCGCCCAGCGGGGTCTCCTCTCCGCAGCCTGCCGGCCTCCAGTGCTCGCCGAGTGCTGGTGAGGGAACAGCTGGAAGGCTGCAGTCTCCCATCCCTCCCCACCCCCCACAGCTCTGGCCCTGGCCGGAAGGTGTGCTCTAGCCCTCGTTGTCACCACGGACGCCTGACTCTGAGCCTTGGGCCCCTGCTCTCCCAGCGGATGCTGGTCCCTTCAAGAGACCTGCACCTGAATAAGGGGCCACCCCTGAGCAGAAGAAGCACAAAGGCCTGGAGGTGGAGGACCAGGGTTCTGGGGTCCCTCCCTGGGCATGAACCCTTTGCCAGGAGTTCCCAGAGGCCGGTGCTGTAGGGCCCAAGGACCCCAAAACTACAGCCGCCCCAGTGACCTCCCTGGGCTCAGCCCTCAGAGCCCCTTCTCCAGGCCCACGGGTGTCCCTGGGCCGCACCCCTCCCTTCGGTGTCTCTTTCTCATCTCCATTCTCCCCTGCCCTGTCTAGAGTTTTCCAATCTGCAGTCCCAGCCCTGAAGCAGCATTAGCAATAGAAAACCCAATTACCTGTCAATTACTGGATCCAAGCCAGACAGGGGTTACTGTAAGTCACAATGGAATCGGGAGGGGGGGCAGGGAGGTAGCACTGGGGCCAGTGCCCCATGGCCGACACGCGAAGATGGATGTGACAGGGACCTGTGGCTCAGAGGCTTGGGATTAGATCAACATGGCTGGGGCCGGCTGGTTCCAGGAAAAAGGTCGCATGGGCCCCGGCTGACAGACAGCTCAGGCAGAGCCAGGCTTCAGGCAGGCCCTGCCTGGACAGAGAAGGCGCCAGGCTGAGGGCCCAGCCTGGAGGTGGAGGACCTGAGCTCCCTGGGGCTGACCCCTGGGCACAGGCACTTGGCCAGGAGTTCCCAGAGATCAAAACAGCCGCAGCTCCTTGTTGGGCCCCTAGGAAGTCCTCTGAGCACCCAGCCAGGGGTGTCGCTCCAGCCCACCCACGCCCAATACCTGATGAGTTGTTCAGACTCAGGCCCAGAGGGCCTGGGGTCCAGGGGCTTCCCGCCGGCCAGGGCCTGAAGCAGAGGAGCCGCTCAGGACCCATGGTTCTGGGGAGTAGCCCTCTTAGGGATTCTAGGAGCTAAAGGGGAGGGGGTGCAGCTCTGTGAAACGGGATCCGGGGGGATCATCAGCCCGGATTCCCTCCCCACACAGACATGTGTGTAATAATGCCCATCTATAGTGATCTGGGGACACCTGGGGTCCTTTGCTCACTCCACCCCAGGGAGGCCCTGATTTGCAGGGTTTGGAGTTCTGTGCTGCATTCTAAGCCCGGGCTGTGCTGCGCTCAGTGGGCGCCCCCCCCCCACACACTCACTCACACACACACTCACACGTGGATCTGCACCTTCCGCGTCACTGGCTGCACCTTGTTTGCTGCAGCTATCATCTGAGTGTCCCTGCGCGATCTGCTGCCATCCCCCTCGTGCTCAGCCCCTTCCCCAGCCCCTACACAGCAAGCGGTGGCAGTCCTGGTGGGGGCGGTGATGAGGGGGGATAAGATGAGTCATCGCATGGAAGCAGACACACCAGTTCCCGCCTCACACACTCACAGAGCCCTGGACACAAAGGCATGCCACACGCACATGCCACACGCACAGGAAAACGCAGGCCAGCGCTGCGCAAAACCACCGCTGCACACTCAGACCCACGCAGACAGACAGACCAACACAACTCCCACACGCGTTCCTTAAAGACACAAACACCAAACCCAGACAAACACATCCCATCCGGGTGACTCCCAGTCTCCAACCCAGAGCCTGTCTCCTGTCCACGGGCAGAGAGAGAGAGAGAGATGTAAATGCACACACACACACACACACACAGAGTCTCACAACGACACACAACCCTCACTTGGGTACACGCACGCGCGCGCGCACACACACACACACACGCACGAGCCAGCCCTCTTCTCTCAAGTCCCCTCCTCCATCCCCTGCCTCCACCACCACTGAGGGCAGGCAGGACAGAGTTTTGCAGTCACAGGGGTCTGGGACCCATCGCCCACCACGGTCTGAGTCAGGTTTAGCTCCAACCTCCTGCTCTGCAGAAGGGAAGGTCACAGGCCCCGTCCCTGGGCCCCCTGCTCCCCTCCCATGCATTCTGTGCCTCACAGTCATCTCCAGCGCCCCTCAGGGGGCTTCCGCAGGGAGGATGGTGGCCATACCCTGGGGATCGCCTTCCAGGAAGGAAGGGGGAAGGGAGAAGGGGTCCAGCACATTGGCGAGAACCGTCCTGAGGCAGGGATGGCCAGGGTGACTGGTGGATGCCCAGGAGGTCACCCTTTAGCTACCTGTGGTCCTCCGAGGGCCCAGCCTAGACCCCTTTGCACCTGCTGTTTCCTCCACCTTGAACACAGCTCCTGCGATACCTAACTCCTCTTGCCGGACTTCCTTCTTAGGTCTCCCCAGAGGTGCTCAGGTTCCAGGAGCCTGTTCCGGGGCCCTGGCTGGGTTGTTCTGCCCCTCTGGGCCCCGCAGTCCCGGTTCCACTCATACCATAGGCTAACGGCCTGGCTGTGCACCTGCCTCCCCTCACCCCCAGTGACCCTCTGAAGGGCAGGGAGCCTCTGTGTGGCGGGGGTGGGGGGTAGGGGCTGGAGATCTCAGAAGAGCACGGTTTGAGCTCCAGCTCGGCCTCTGCACAGCCAGGGTTCTTGGCTATGAAATGCAGACAATCACAACTGCCTCACCAGGATGGTGTGAAGACTGGGTAAGATCCTTGACACTATCGGAACCTCGCTGCCTGGGACTCGGCTTAGTAAATATTTGCTGAATTAATGAGCCTTTCCGGCCCCCCCTCTTCTGTCCAGCTCCCGTCCCTGTCTCAGGAGAGGAAAAGTAGGGATGCACGAGCAGGATGTGGGGGCAGGTGGAATTAGCGCGCAGGGCTGTGTGGCGTGCGTGGCTGGCCACAGCTACCTGGTCCGGCAGAGGCGGAGCGGGTACCCTCTCACCCTCGTGACCCACCTGTGCCTCCGTCCTCGTCAGCCAGGTGAGGCAGCGGGGAGAGGTGGGGCCGGGATCCACCTCTGCACTGTGCTCTCCGAAGCCGCCCGGGGCGCGCAGGCACCCACTAGGCGCGCCCTGAATGGGGGGCTTAACTGTTGAATGAATGCGGACGGTGTGAATGGAGGTGGGAAGCAAGCGAGCGAGCAGGGGGCGGCGAGGAGGGATGAGCGCGTCCCTCCGCCCTCCGGGTCTCGGGGCCGGGAGACAAGGAGCCGAGGCCGGCTGGGGGCTCCCCTCCCCGCGGCGCTCAGCCCGGCGGAGCCCGCTCCGAGCCACAGCCAGAGCTGGAGCCGAGGCTCACGCCCAGCCCAGAGAGCCGAGGCAGCGCAGCCTTGGGAGGGGGCCCAGGGGCCCAGACTCTTCCGCGGGAAGGCAACATCTCCGGCGCAAGGGCCTGGGACCAGCGGCCGCGAACGCCTGCGTCCCGAAACCAACAGGTGCGGGGCATAAGGGACCACCCGGGCCCGGGATGGGGGGGATCCAAGGGACCCGCGGTGAGGGTTGGGGGAGCCAGGAGTCTCGGCGGGTAACCTGGGTGCTGGAGCCTGAGCCCCTCGCCGGCCCTGCCCACCTCTCGGAGGGCTCCTGCCGAACCCCTCGCTCCCCGCGCCGCAGCCCCCGCAGCCCGCGAGGTGCTGGGAGGTCCCAGGGCAAGAGCAGGTCCCGCGAAGGGAGTGGGTCCGCTGGCACTCGGCGGAGTGGAAAGGCGTCCCTTCCCCCTCCGCCAGGGGTCTCCAGGGAGCGTCATGCCTGCTACCCGCGTCAGGGGTCGTCCGGGCCCAGCTCGAGAGGGAGGGGTCTGCAGGAGGGAGGCGCCGGGAGCGAGGCCGGATTTATGAATGGGAAGTGGCCTGTGCGCCGGATCAGCGACCCCTGGCGGCCGCGGGGGGACAGCGCGGCCGCGGGAACTCAATGGGTGCCAAGCATGGGGCCTGGGCACTCCCCGCACCCCTTCTGGAGTGTGTGTGTGTGTGTGTGTGTGTGTGTAACATCCCCCCATGACCCTTTTCCCAACCAAAAATGAAGGGGTGTGAACTGATCCAAGAACACTCAAAGTCGGGATGGCTTCCCCTCCCAGCCTGGGGTGTTCAGCAGCTTCAGACAGACCTGGCTCAGTAACAGTGACCTTGAGCAGGAGGCGCGACCTCTCTGAGCTTGCATCTCTCCCTGTAAAGCAGGGCTCTTGCCTAACGGTGGCTGCTGGCCGTGAAGCCCGTCTCCCCAAGGCCCGGGGCCGGGGGTGAAGCCCTGGCTTGCCCTGGGGCTCATTACTCCTCACTGCAGCGCCGTGAGGTAGGTACTTCATGGAACAGATAGGGAAACTGAGGCGCAAAGAGGCCAGGTGAGTGACACAGGGCAGCTTGCATGGAGTTGGGCTGCACCCCGGGTCTGTCTTCGTCCACTGATTTCACAGCTGTGAGAATCTAGACAGAGCTTACAGGCAAAGGGCCTGGTGCCTTCCCTAGTGCCCCCACCCTGCCCCCTCCCTTCAGGAGGCTTGGGGCCGGAAGCCTAAAGACTGGGTGCAAACCTCGGGCCCGTGCAGGAAGTGGGCTGAGGACTGGCCTGGGCCCCTCCCTCCACAGAGCCCGGGATGTCTGTCGGTAGCAGCAACCCCTGAGTTCATGGAGCCCTCGGCCACCCCAGGGGCCCAGACGGGGGTCCCTGCTGGCAGCAGGCAGGCGTCCCCCAGGCCTCCAGACTATGAAGACGAGTTTCTCCGCTACCTGTGGCGTGATTATCTGTACCCTAAGCAGTACGAGTGGGTCCTCATCGCAGCCTATGTGGCCGTGTTCCTCGTGGCGCTGGTGGGCAACACACTGGGTAAGTCTAGGCCTCGCCCAGCGGTGCTTCAGGCTTCCCCTGGGGACTCTAGGGGGTCCTGGGCCTCACCTGCCACTCCCTGCCTCCTGCGGGCTGGGGGGACCTCGGGGGAGGGCTCATGGGTGGGGCTCTACCCACTGCCCCTCACCCTAGCCACACCCTGCAGTCTGCCTGGCCGTGTGGCGGAACCACCACATGAGGACGGTCACCAACTACTTCATCGTCAACCTGTCCCTGGCCGATGTGCTGGTGACAGCCATCTGCCTGCCGGCCAGTCTGCTGGTAGACATCACGGAATCCTGGCTCTTTGGCCATGCCCTCTGCAAGGTCATCCCCTATCTACAGGTGAGCTCAACCGGGGCACCCCTCAAGACCCCGTTACGGGGCCAGCGCCGTGGCTCACTTGGTTAATCCCCCGCCTGCAGCACCAACATTCCATATGGGTGCCGGGTTCTAGTCCCGGCTGCTCCTCTTCCAGTCCAGCTCTGCTGTGGCCCGGGAAGGCAGTGGAGGATGGCCCAAGTGCTTGGGCCCCTGCACCCGCATGGGAGACCAGGAGGAAGCACCTGGCTCCTGGCTTCAGATTGGCTGTAGCGGCCATTTGGGGGGTGAACCAACGGAAGGAAGACCTTTCTCTCTGTCTCTCTCCCCCTGTCTAACTCTGCCTGTCAAATAATTCGGCCTTGAGACAGGCCACAGTGGCTCAGGTCCCTGGCAGTGTGGTCCCCTACTGCCAGGGACAGCAGGCCACCAGATGGACTCAGGCCCACACATTCTTGCAGTGATCCCCCCCCGCTCAGTCACACTCACAGGCTCCTACAGTCACCCCCAGGGACCTGGCTCATGGTGGAGGAGAAAGACCGAAACCCCCAGGGACACTGACACGACCCTACACCCTGATCCCAAGGAGGGCAGATGTGGGGAGCCCCCAGGGGAGCGGTCCCCTCCTTCTACCCTGACCAGTCCCTCTCCCTGCAGTGGTGGGGAGCACAGTGTCCGGATGGGGTGAGAGGGCAGAAGGAGGACCTCTCGTGTCCCTTTGGGGGTGCACCTGCCTGCACCCCCAAAGCCAGGGCCCACCCCTGGAGGCAACGCCCACCCCACAGCTGGCCCAGACTCACCTCTGCTTCTCAGCGTGAGGACTCTGCAGTAGTGTATCCCGATGGCCTGGGAGGGATGGCGCCCAGGCAGGCAGAAATGCCTCCTGGATGGTCCCATTGTTTGGAGGTTCTCCACTCAACTGGTTAACTGGTGTCTGAGCATCAAGTCAGACCGGTGAGGGAATTCCGTGCCTCAGTTTTCTTGTCTGTAACATGGGGGCACTAGCTCCACCTTGGGGAGTTGTGAAGACTATGAGAGTAGTACCTGGTACCCAGAAAGTTCTAATTCTGTAGGAGCGGCACCCTGACTGCATGCCGCATCCCACACTCACATTTACCATCCATGATTTCCTTTATCCTCCCAAGAATCCTGCCAGGTGGACGGTATACTCCCATTGTGCAGGTGAGGCTCAGAGAGGGTGAGTGACTTGCCCAAATGCACACAGCCAGTAAGTGATGGAGTCAGAGCTTGCACTGCACCTGGCGGTCTGGCATCACTGGGCTGTGACGCCCCGCCTCGCTCACCCGCCACGTCGCTGGGCAGCCCCCAGGGGCTGACACTGTGTCCCCGCCGGGCAGGCCGTGTCCGTGTCAGTGGTCGTGCTGACTCTCAGCTCCATCGCCCTGGACCGCTGGTACGCCATCTGCCACCCGCTGTTGTTCAAGAGCACTGCCCGGCGCGCCCGCGGCTCCATCCTCGGCATCTGGGCGGTGTCGCTGGCTGTCATGGTGCCTCAGGCTGCTGTCATGGAGTGTAGCAGCGTGCTGCCCGAGCTGGCCAACCGCACCCGCCTCCTGTCTGTCTGTGATGAGCGCTGGGCAGGTAATGGTGGGGGCCCCTGGGCAAGCATCCCGGAAGTGGGCACCTCTGGGGCACAGGTCCCTAGGGTGGGCTCTCAATCTGGGGCATTGCCAGGCTGGGTAAGTCCAAGAGGGTGCCCCTTTTTATATACGTTTGCCAGGAGTCTCTTCAGGATGGGCACTGGCAAGCGGGACAACACCAGGGCCTCTCTGCCCTGGTGGCTGTGCGGGACCCTCTGGGCCTTCCGTGGCCCATGTCAGGACAGGGCGGCGTTGCTGACAGGGCAGGCGGGGACTCCCAGCCTTGGCCTGACCTTGTGTCCCTTGCCCCCTGCAGACGACCTGTACCCCAAGATCTACCACAGCTGCTTCTTCATTGTCACCTACCTGGCCCCACTGGGCCTCATGGCCATGGCCTATTTCCAGATCTTCCGCAAGCTCTGGGGCCGCCAGGTGAGGCCTGCTGGGTCTGGGCTGGGAGGGGGCAGACAGTGCTCTGCCTTCAGCTAGGCAGAGACGAGGCCCAGGGACAGGTCACAGACTCAAGGCCAAAAGCGCCAGCACGCACCATGGCACGGAGCAGTAGCTGACATCCTTCTAGCGGTAGGAGCTGGTGCTGGCTGGGCTGCTCACGCCCAGCCGGTCTTGTGTCCTCTGGACCACGTATCTTACCCTCTACTCAATAGGTGAGCAAACTGAGGCCCAGTATCCCTCACATCCCTCGGCTGCTAAGGAGCCAGCCAGGAACTCGCAGACGCGTGCAGGGCCGGCGCTCAGCTTCGTAGCCCCACGATGGCAGCAGCTCAGCCTTGCTTGCTTCGCCCCCACTTCTTAACAATGAAACAGCACTGCTCTGTCCGCCCGCCGAGGAGGGGCAGCCCCTCACTGAGGCCCCTGAGAGGCAGAGTCCTCTGGTTTCAGGGCCGCCTCCTCTCCCCCATGACGAACCGGCCCGCAGCAGGTGTTGTGGACGGGTTCTGTGGGAAGGAGATGCTCTGAGCCCCATGGTGCTAGTGGGAGCGAGTTCCAAGTGCACGCCTAGGAGGTGAGAGGGTGGCCAGGCCCTTGCAGGAATGCTCGCGCTGCGGGCTGTCACGTGTCACTGCACTGACCTGCACACTCGGGCCACGCAGGGGGCAGGGGCGGAGTGGTCACACCAGCCCCGGCCATGGAGGAACACCCAGCTCAGCAGGGCCCTTCCTGGCTGGCCAGCCTCGCAGTGTGCCAGCACGTGCCACCTGCTTCTCATGCGTCCCCCGTCCAGCAGGGCAGACAGCTGACAGATGGGAAACCAGGGCCATGAGCTCACACAGCTCACGGATGCCTGCACTGGTCCGAACCCAGAGTTCCCTGAGCCCTGTGTGGGGCGATTAGGGCGTCCAGCAGTGGGAGAGGCTTCGGGGGTGTCTGTGGCTATTCCAGGCACAGGCAGCAGGCCACTGACCCAGGCGGGGACCCACGCTCTGAGGCCCAGGCCATTCCACACTGCTCCCCTGCCCACCCCTTGATCAGGCCTCCTCATGGTCAGGGGTTGGCCCAACTCACCACCACCCCCACTCCTTCCCCTGAAGAAGGAGATTTAAGGACAGAGGAGCAGCCGGGAGGATGGTCAGAGCCCAGGTTGTGGCCAGGGCCTGGTCAAGGGTCCCCACCTGAGACTCAGGTGCCGCATCTGTAACTAAGGACCCGCAATCCCCTCCCGGAGGCACGTGGCCAGTGCACTCGCAATGGGCCAAAGGAAAGCGGCCGATGGCCAAGCCCAGATCACGAGTGCTGGACTCCCCACCTTCCCCCTGCCCTGGGGCACAGCCCCTCCCTGAGGAGCTAAGCCCCTGCTGCTGTGTGTGTGTCGGACAGATCCCCGGCACCACCTCGGCCCTGGTGCGCAACTGGAAGCGGCCCTCAGACCAGCTGGACGACCAGGGCCAGGGCCTGAGCTCAGAGCCCCAGCCCCGGGCCCGCGCCTTCCTGGCCGAGGTGAAACAGATGCGAGCCCGGAGGAAGACGGCCAAGATGCTGATGGTGGTGCTGCTGGTCTTCGCCCTCTGCTACCTGCCCATCAGTGTCCTCAACGTCCTCAAGAGGTGAGGCCCGCGGTGGGCGGGCAGGGGCGGGGAACAGAGGAAGGAGCCTGCCTGGGGCACGGCTTCTCTCCAGCGCCACCTAGGGGCGGGCCTCGGTCTCCTGGTGCATAAAACGGGAATAGCGGGGCAGCAGTCCTGCCCTCCCAGGGCCACGGAGAACATTCATGCGGGCGATCGCCCAGTTGTCGCGGCTGGGAACCCAGGGCACAAGAGTGCTCGGGACAACATTCCCGCCTTCCTGGAGGGAAGGGAAACCCACGCCGTGGTCATGTCGGTCAGTGGTGGTTGCCGGGAAGAACAATGAGCTAGGAAGACAGCGTGACAACGCGGTTGGTGGGCTTTTTGGTTTTGTTTGTTTTTAGAAATAATGGCTTTTGTGAATGAATCAAAAGAAAAGGCCTGAGGAAGTGAGCTTGAGCGGAGGCTTGAAGGAAGAGAGGGTGCTGGAGGCAGAGGCACACGGGGACACCCAAGGAGGCCCCCAGGGGCCAGGGCTGCGGCACAGGAGGCCACCTCAACCGCAGCTGGTGCTTGGCCGCTTCCGGCTGCGTGGTCTTGCACCTGTCACTTTGCCTCTCCGAGCCTGTTTCCCTCACTGAAAATCAGGTGATGTCTCTGATCCACGTGATCCCAGCAAAGTGCCACCTGGTGGTCAGAGTGGGCAACAGGAGCTGGCACAAGTCCTGTGAGCGCGCACACACACACACACACACACGCACTCACTCACAGACATACAAACATAAACACACACACACACACATGCGCACGCAGCCACCGAGTTCCTGACCGTCCCCCACCCTGGCCCCTAGGGTCTTCGGGATGTTCCGCCAAGCCAGCGACCGAGAGGCTATCTACGCCTGCTTCACCTTCTCCCACTGGCTGGTGTACGCCAACAGCGCCGCCAACCCCATCATCTACAACTTCCTCAGCGGTGAGTGGGCTGAGGTGGAGCAGCGGAGCCCAGGACCATGGTCTCCCTGTCCCCCAACCCAAGGCCCAACGGATGGCAGAGAAGACAGCTGTTCTGGGAACCCGGGTCTCAGTGACCAGCAGCCGGGGGCAGGCAGGCAGACTGTGGGAGTGGAGGGCAGGAGCTGAGCCCCTGTCTGGGAGGCAGAGCACAGGTGGAACCAACTGTCTCCCCCAGATGGTCCGCCTGCCCACCAGCAAGCAGGGTCAGGGCAGAGAGAGGGTCACGGACAGACGCAGCCCAGGGCCAGAGCAGGGCTTCCCCTGCCCAGCCAGATTCACACTGGCAGAGTGGCCAGAACCCTAGGGACTGTCCCTGGACCCACCAGACACTTACTCCACCTCCCCTCTGGAAGTCCAGGCCTCCATGCCCTTACCCCGACTTCTAGCCTAGGCCCCGCCCCTTCCTCTAGCTCCTGGTCCCAGGTGGCAATGGCCGGGTGCCCCTGGCTCACCTCAGCAGTGTAACTCGCCAGGCCTCTGACCTGGGCCTAGGCTTCTGCAGTCAGTCCACATGACTGTCCCAGCCGAGATGCTGGTCATCTTGGAGAAACAGTTGAAAGGTTAAAGAAGGGATCAGGGGACAATGGTCTAACTCCCAGTGAGATTCCAGTTACGCGACAAAGCCTGGTCAGCTGGCATCCGGCTCAGAGAAGGAAACAGGAGCGCTAGCCCTGTGGGGAGCAAAGGGTGGGCAGACCTCTGATGCACACGCCTTGGGGGGCCCACGTTCACTGAGCACCTGCTGTGTTCTGGGCCCCGGAGAAGCTGGCAGACTGACACACTGAGGTCGGGGCAGTTCAGGTTCCAGCAAGGCCTGTGTCCCTGGCCCACCTGGGCTGAACAAGGTGGTGCGGTGCTCCCGCCTTCCCCTTTAAGAGAAGGGTTTGGAATGAGAACAGGATTCAGCTTCCAGCTGGGTGGCCTTGGGCAAGCTTCTGTACCCCTGTAGCTCATCTGTGAAGTGAAGATAAAGGGCTCCAACCTCTCACGGCACTGGGACGCCCTGGGGGACAGGAGCTGAGCCACCCAGCACAGTGCCTGGCACAGCGTGACTGCCGCGTACGAGGGCAGAGCTGGGAAAAGCCTAGCACATGAGTGAGCTCCGAGCCCTTCCACCTACACATCAGTGAGGCCAGAGGTGACGCGAGGCCCCTGAGCCAGAGCAGTCAAGGAAACAGATGACAACTGTTCTCATGCCGTTGGGAACCTGCTCGGGGCCTCTGGTGCTGCGCTGTGGCAGAGCCAAAGTCGCCCTGGGGCTCCCAAGCCCGCTCGGCCCCCATCCCAGCGCCTCACAGGCAGCATGACTGGAGCTGTGTGGGTGTCCCTGTGCTCGAGGCCTCTTCCAGTGCATTTATCTCCTTATGGCTGTGTCTTTTGTCTCCCAACCAAGGCAAATTCCGGGAGCAGTTTAAAGCCGCCTTCTCCTGCTGCCTGCCCGGCCTGGGTCCTCGCTCCTCTGCCAGCCACAAGTCCTTGTCCCTGCAGAGCCGGTGCTCCGTGTCCAAGGTGTCCGAGCACGTGGTGCTCACCAGCGTCACCACGGTGCTGCCCTGAGCCGGGATCCGCCCTTTCCCCTCATGGACATTGCTGGATGCAGTGAGAGGCCAGGGCTCCAGTCCTGGTTTCCTGCCTGTGTGCCTCTGGGCAAGTCCCTTCCCCTCTCTGAGCCTGTGTCCCCTACACAGGGCTGACTTGAGGATGAAGCAAGCTCAACAAAGTGAAACCCCTCTGTAAACTGTAAAGTGCTGTGGACATTATTGTACTTCTCACGCTTGGCCACACCCCCAGAGTATCACTCACACCCCCCCCCCCATTCTGCCCCACCCCCTAAAAACTCCTAGCCAATTACAGCCTTCCCTGGACTCTGCCCCCTACAGCCCAGGGCTGCACTTGGCCTACTTGGGCTGAACAAGGTGGTGCGCCAGTGGGAATTACCTGTGCCCAGCCCCCTCCCAGAACAGCCCCACCCTCACCAGGTACCCAGCACAGGCACCAGAGTGGGCCTTGTTGGCTTTGTGGCGTGATAGAACTCTCCAAGTGGCCGTTTGGCAGAGGACAGCAGCCCGAAGCAAGTGTAATTAAAAGTCTGGCACTGAATGTTCCCTTTCCTTGTCATTGCACAAGATCTTGTGTGCAGGTTGGGAGTGGAGGAAGGTGGGGAAGCTGGGGGAGGGAAGACACAGCGGTGGCGCTGGAATGCTGTTATCTGCTGACCCTGCCCCAGCCCCCCAGTCCCAGATGAACTCACAGCCAAGTCTCTCATACCCTGGACCTTGAGTCCTGGCACATCTGTCTGCCCAGGGGGCCCGTGGCAAGTCCGGGAGCGGGGGTGGGGGGCTAAGGCAGGCACATGCCAGGTTAATGGACTCATTTACTGTTCTCTTCACTTTCTTGGAAATCTCTGGGCTTCATTTATTTTCTGTGAGCTCAGGATAAAAAGAGAAAGCTACAGACTTGGCCAGACGTGCTCAGTCTGCCACTGAGATGATTACAGGACTGCCAGAGGCCCTGATCCTGCGGCCAAGGCAGCTCGGGAGTGCGGTCTGCAGTGCTGCTCTGCCGGGAGGGGCGGGGACGGCTGGCAGGGCCCAGGCAGCAGAGCGCGCCACCAGCTCTGCCGTACTCCTGGAGCTAGGACGCCTTCTGACTTCACCTGTCAGGAGGCCTCCAGCGTCGCTCCCCCACGTACCTGCTTTACCCACTGCAGGTGAAGATGGGGTCTGTCACTCGCTGTCCACGTGACTCCTGACCCCGCTCTCTGAAGACAGTGAGCTGTTGCCAGGAGGGACAGGCTGTCCATGCTCCTGGTGGCCTCGGGCTCCAAAGCTGTCTGCAACCCTCCCAGGCAGGCCCGGAGGTGTGGTGTGTAGAATGAGGCATGAGGGCTGGCCCCAGGCCCAGCACCAACCGTGCCCTCAGGGGAAAACCAAGGTCCCTGGGATCCTGAGCCCAGCTGAGGAACAAGCAAAGGACAATGGTTGGCCTCCTTCTCAGATGGACACTGGTGCACCCTGGCCCCATGGGAACAGGCGACAACAACTTCCTCTAACGGTTACAGCTCTGCTCCGCTGTAAGCTGAGCGCAGCACCTCCGTGGGCCTCAGGTGTCTGATGAACTGGAGAAAATGCAGGGGAGTGACGCTCAGCGAGGAGCTGCTGTGCCGAAGAGCCCAGGGGCAGACGTGGAGGCCAGCCCCATGCCCGACACATGGATGGCGTGCAGAAACGGTGAGGGGAGTCCCCGCAGCCCGGGAGCGAACCTGAGCCAAAGGCAGTGTTTTCAAGGCGGCAGGATTTACAACTGTCAGGAGATCCCAGTCAGTGAGGGAGGAAATGGGCACCTTGGAAAGGGCCCGAGTGTAGCTTCTTGATAGATATTTCTTATTTTCATGTGAAAGGCAGAGAGACAGAAGATAGGGAACTTCCATCCACTGGTTCACTCCCCAAAGGCCTCCAACAGCTGGGGCTCAGCCAGGCTGATGCCAGGAGCTCAGAACTCAGTCTGGGTTTCCTAGGCGGGTGGCAGGGACCATATACTTGAGCCATCACCTGCTGCCTCCTAGGGTGTGTGTTAGTGGGAAGCTGGAATCAAAGTGGAGCCAGGACTTGAACCCAGGCATTCTGATATGGGACGTGGGCATCCCGCAAGGCATCTTAACCACTGTGCCAAACGCCCACCCCAGCAATGAGTTCTGTCACTGGAGGTTGCCTAACAGAGTGCAGACTCACAAGGGCCCTGCAGGGGCTTCCAGCTCTGGATGGGGATGGCCCTGGGAGCTGCATTCCATCTGACTGGATTCTCGCATGTCAGCAGCCCAGAGCGAAGGGGGCTGCATGGCCAAGCCCGACTTGCTTGCTGGGCCTCACTGACCTGCGGAACAGTCTCAGCCACTTCCCCAGCCACGCACTGCAGGGAGAGCCCTGCTTAGGACGCAGAGCTCTTATCTTCATCTCAAAGAGCCAAGGGATAATCACACCATCACCCGCGATAAGGCCCCCCTGGCAAAGCTTTTGACTGACATTTTATCAGCTCGCCATAGACACTCAGTGGAGACTGGGTATCATGCTGATCTAGGGATCTGACAGGCAGGTACAGATGTCTGTGCTTAATAAAAATGGGGGAAAAGTTATGACTTCATAAGTGGAGTTTGTCTGAAAGATAAAACTAAGGCCGGAGATAAAAAAGCCATGTTGTGCCAAGTTTGGGGTGGCTGTTTCCAGCCCAAAAACTGTAACTTGACAGTCAATTTGAGTTAATCTCCAAGCCATCCTGAGCTGAACCTGGCTGCCCCACAGTGCAGCTTCACGCTGGCCAGTGAGAACAGCCCATGGAGGCCATGCCCGCCCCGCCCCCGCCGCGTTCTGCAAGGCTTGTATCTTACGTACTTAAGTATTCATGGAATGAAAGAACAAATCAGTGAATGAATGGGCAAGTGTAGCTGGGAAGTCATGGCGGACAATGTGGAACTTGAGTTTCATCCTTTTATTGAAGCTTACAGTTTCACTGGACTTTTGGCCCCAAATGAAAAAACTAGAAATTAAAAAAAAGCATTGGCAGTGAGAGGTGACAACTGTCCCCTGGGGACGAAAGCTGAGCAGAGCCTGGCAGGGAATGAGGGGTCCAAGATGCCCAGAGAGCAGACTGCGAGCTCCCTGAGCCTTGACTGCCCCAGGCAGAGAGAGGTAACTCACAAGGACTTGTGGGTATGGGACAAGGCAAGCCACTGGTCCCCTGGGCAAATCTCTCCCGTGCCTGATCAACTCCACTTTGGCCAAACTGGGCTCATCCAATAGGACAGTCTGGGGGAAGGAACACGGGTGCTAATGCTAAGACGGTGAGCCTCAGGGCGTAGATGGGAAAGCCGGAGGCAGAGGCCAGCAGGCCACACGAACTCCACGGTAATGACTGGAGCACCTGCTCCTGGTGCCAGGCTGTGCCACTAACTGCTCAGGGTTGTCAGGACTTCCAACCTCATTCTCTCCTACGTCAGGTCCCCCATCTGTGTGGCCTCAAACTAAGTCCCCACTATTTGGTGGCTGTGACACAAGACTCCTACCCCTCTGAGGGCTGTGTCAAGCAAAGGAGAATCTTTTTCTAGGAGAGGCAGGAAAAGAAGAGAGGCCCACATGCTTCTCCCACTCTAGGGAGCTGGGAGAGGCCCCTGGCGCACTCTACACCACAGGTGGGCTGGGTCATAGCATCCGAGAGGCTGTCATGGTAACGAAGTCCTCAAAGCTGAGCCGAATGTTGCCCTGTACGGCGGTGTCCTTCTCCCGGAAGGCCTCAGTCAGCACCTGCAGCTGAGTGCACACCTGGATGAAGCGGTCAAGTTGCATAGCGGGACTGGCAGAACGCGGGCAGTAGCGGGAGACCAGAAGCTGGGTGAACTGGGGGCTCAGGTTGTAGCCCATCTGGGACAGAGCTGGAGAAGAAGGGCACACAGAACACACAGAAACCTGCTGTGAGCCCCTGCCCAGAGCAGCCGCAGCTCAGAGAACACGGAGGGGACCGACACAGGAGCGTGAAGAGGACAGGAGAGTCCCGAGGGTCTGCACAAGGGGAGCACAACCGGGGCTCTACCTGCAAGGCCCCTCCCCCTTTCTCCAAGTCTCTGTGATCTGGCTCACAAGTCCAGACAAGGTTCTCTCCACTGTCATCTGACTCATCCGCATTACAAAAGGAGGCCTGAGCCCCAAGGACCACCCCAGCTACGGCTGACATCAAGGCGGCTGGCCCAGCCCAGAGGGCCCGAGGAGGGCCAGCTCGGAGTCAGTCCCTGGGCAAGCTGCTTAGCCTCAATATCCTTTCTTATTCTAAAGTGTGGATGACGCTGAGTCTGCAGCTTCTGGTGAGGATTAGAGGAGGCGATCATTAAAACAAGTAGCACAGAGCCTGGCACTCAGTGACTGCTATCCTAATAAAGTCTCCCCATCGGCCCAGAAGAGGCTGCTGGGTGCTCCCCACCCTCCACTGGGGCGCTGCCTTCCCTCCCCTCCACCCAGGTTCAAATCTCAGTTCTCCATTTGCTCTGGGGGCCCTTTGGCGAGGTTCCTACTCTAGGCCTTGGTCTTCCCAGGTGTAGAAAAGAGGTCTAAGGGACCTTCACCACAGGGCATGAACAGTAAGCATCAGCCATAGCTAACACATGGGCATGAATGACACAAACCTGCGCAAAGACCACTACAGTGCTTGTCCGAGACACAGCAAGCATTCCACAGACAGCAGTGGTTGTTAGTTTCACCCTTACCAATATCCTTTACAGCAACTGACAAAATCTCCCCCCTGCCCCCCCGACCAGGCGCAGATGCCGAGCGCTCACCTCCACCCAGAGAGCCCGGACAAGAGACTGGACTCTGGCGGCTCTGCCCCCCTCCCAAGCGGCAAAGCTCCCTGCTGGGTTCTTACAACTCCATTAGCCACCTGTCCTCTCACCCACTGGCCTGAACCCTACCGTCAGACTGGAACCAGATGGGAGCTGTGGCCTCAGGTCATCTTACCCACCTGGTGTCTGGCAGAAGTGACAACAGAACCTGTTTCTGTACAGGGCTCCTTCCATTCTGCAGTCTGTAAGCCACACACCAGAGGGGAAGGAGCCGCCCCAGCCACACACACTGGTCTGGTGCCCCGGCTGTCGAGTTCCCATCCCGAGGCTCCCTGCGGTTGGGGCTCTCACCTCATGCTGCCAGGAGACTTAGTCAGGGAGTCCAGGGCTAACTCTGGACCCAGGCGTTTCCCTGCCCTGGCCTGGGCTCTGTGCCACAGCTGGGTCACAGCAAGGGTGGGAGCAGTGGGCCTGCACTGGTGGGCCTCTGGGAGTGACAGGGACAGCCCTTGTTCTGCCCGCCGTGCCCCGCGTGGTCCTCACCTTGCTGCAGCTCCGTGTAGCTGATGGAGCCCGAGTGGTCCCGGTCATACTGCTGGAAGAGGTTCTTCCACTGCTGGATGAACTTCCACAGGGCTGAGAACCCGTAGACGTCGATGCGGCCTGACTTGGTCTTGTCAAACATGTCTGAAGGAGGGGAAGGCAGGAAGGCTGCAAGACTTGGGGCCAAGGCTTCTCAGGAGCCACGGCCACAGCCCTTGTCCCAGGCTGGTGC